GCTTATCTATTGGGGAATGTTTATTGGTTTTATATACGTAGATTTCCACCTTCACTCCTGTTTCCTTGCGTATATTTCGAAAGAAACCTTCTATTAGTCTCTCCACTATCACAATTACTGTTGTTATTCTTGTCTTTTGCTACTGCACCAATCACTCCTACCATTTCGTTGTTGGGGGTGCTCAAGATATAAATAATCTCTTAAGATTTGTTTTTTTTTTCCTAAGAATGTTTTGATCACCTCCTTATCATTGAACATTCCCCCTCACCCTTTTTTTCCCCCATTTAAGGTTAAACTCAGACAGGCAGGGAGGAAACCCTGGGCTGCATTCTGATTTCCACTGCTCTTTGGAATACATTATTCCATCCCTTCTTACATTTTCTGCTCTCAGGTTATTCAAATTTCCATTTTCTTTGTATTTGAAAGTCTTTCTCTGGCCTACTTGCAGAATTTTTTTTTCCTCAACGGAATTGTTCAATTTAATCCCTACATGTCTTGAGTTTGAAGCACTGGGTTTTTTTCCAAAGATAATTCATGAATTGTTTTAATTGGCATTTTCTGTATTCAGAAGTTCTGGGCAGTTAGTTGCTTGTATTGTTTCTTGCACTATGTTATTGTCTTTTGCTTCTCTTCTTCCAGACTGTCTTTCACTTCTGCATATTTACAGTCCTAATCAGCTGTCTTCACTTTTGTTTCCTTGGTGAGACTTTCCACAGTAGAGTCAAGCTTTTCTATTCTGCTAATTATTTCTGCTGTGCAAACCATAAATATTACTAACAATTCTCATTTCTCCTCCACATTTACTTCTCTGGGTTTCCTTTAAGTTCCACTTATATCTTTATACACATGTATTTTTTCCCCTAATAATACTTTATTGATTGTTCCCTTCAATTTTTTTTTTACCCCACAGATGGGTGTCTCTCCCTTTAAAAAAAAACCTTTAAAGGTAATTAATTTCATTGCTTATTCATTATTTAGCAATTGTACCAATTTACTTTCCTTCTGTTTCTAGGCAGAAACACCACAAATGCTTCTCTTTTGTTAAAGATCCACCTTCTTGTTAACAATTAGCCTCTGAATTACAGGGCATATATTCCAGGTTGCAGTTTGAGCACCTTTGTTTTCTAGAATGTACTATTCCATCCACTCTTGTGAGTGGACTCTCCTCAATGCAGAATAATATTGTATAATTTTAATTTCTTTTCTTTTATATTTGAAAGTTTTTCTTCTGGACATATAGTCAATTTGTTGTTTATCACTGAAATTATTATATTTGGCCACTGTAGAGTTTGAAAAGCTTTCTGTTTTGTTTTATTTCCTGGAAGTGATCTGTGGATCCTCTTAATTGATGCTTGTTTTTTCTATATTCAGAAGTTTTGGGCAAGAGTACAAAGTGTCATAATTTGTCATATTATTCTGACACCTATGATCTTTAATTTGCATGTGTGCACTTTGTGTTCAAAGGCAACTGCTTTAACTTACATAAAGTTCATATGTTCTTTTAATGTTATTTCCTTTTGTTTGTCTAGTTACAGATTTTCGTTCACATTAATTTTTTTTTTTTTTGGTATTCTGAATATGTAATCTCTCTCACTTCTTTACAGAAACTTTCTACTGTGGATTCAAATTTTTTTTCCTAATCTGCTAATTGCTTTTTTTCTTTTCTTGGTGAGGCAATGGGGTTCAGTGACTTGCCCAGGGTCACACAGCTAGTAAGTGTCTAGTGTCTGATGCTGGATTTGAACTCAGGGGTCCTCCTGACTCCAGGGCTGGTGTTCTATACACTGCGCCACCTAGCTGCCCCCCTGCTAATTGCTTTTTTAAAAATTCTGCAGTTAGAGCTCTATGCTGTGAACTATGTTGATTCCCAATTTCTTCTCTTACGAATTCTGTTTCCTTTTTTGAACCATTCTTTTGTTTCTCTGTTGTTCTATGTTGTCTTCACAGTCTACAAGATTTTTTATTTCTTCATGAACTGATTCACTTTTCTTTATCTTATAATATTTTATTAAGAGAGTTTTATAATCTCTTTGAGGATTTAGTAGTCATCATCCTTTCTTCTGGTTTTTAGGATCCTTTCTACTGATTTATCTGCTGATGCTCTGTACTTTTATTGAAGGTTTTTTCTATTGTAATCTTTGGTGAATTATTCTTCATTTTTAATATTCTTCTGTTACTTGTTTTCTGAGTCTCTACCCTTTGTTGGTAGATATTACACTAGATGTTAAACTGCAAAGCTGCTACAGCCTCCTAGAGTGTTGGGAGATAAAGAGTTCAGCAGCCTGGGACCCTATCTAAAGTAACTTCTGGGAAGAAAGACTGGCCCCAACTGGGTTTCAGTGTCCTTTTCTCAAGGCTATACATACACATCACGTACAGTGATCCCTGTTTTCAGTGGTTCCTTTGGCTCACCCTTCATTTTTATGGCTGGACTGAATCAATCTCTGTACATTTTTCATGGTTAGGGGAGGGCAAAGAGAGGGTTTCAACAAGAGTTCTATAGTTTTGTAGCTGGAGCCAGGTCCTCAAATGAAAGACAGAATATTTTTAGCCTCACCCTTTCTTCTTCACATGGCTGGGCAGTCACTTTTGCCAGTTATTGTGGGACTGCAGATAGGGAGATGGTGTGGTACACTAGTAGAGGCTCTGGTGTGTGGGTAGGTAGGCTCCAAACATAATGCCACACATTTACTTTGTGTCTCTGTCAGGGATTCATGGAATTGATAGAGAAAGGGCACTGATTGAGTGTGTGAATGAATAAAACTCCCTAGTATCAATAAGGATTTTACCTTGGCAGGATTTTCTCCTTTTTCCTATGGATTAAGCTCTGTGTATATGTGTGTGTTTGTGTGTATGGGGGGAGAAGGAGAGAGGAGGGAATGGTTCTCCTTTGGGCATAGGATATGAGAGGTCAAGGAATCTAGAGAAAATGACTAATCAGCTATATTACTGACCAACTAGACATCCCAGAAACCTCAAATGCTTTTTTTTTTAAACAAACAAACAATAAGCACACTGGAATCTTACTGTCTCTTATCTTTCATTCAAATGTGTGGTAAAGATTAAGTCTACTATGGAATATTGCTTGTGAAAGTCTACGTGTACCCTACTAATGCCCTCATCAAAGATGATTTTGTGCATGTTATGATGACAATGCTCATAAAATTTTTATATAAACAGGAAAATAGGCATATAGGCTGTTAGCTACTGAAGTTCTCTTACTCAACTTTATTCAGTATAATAAAGCATAAGATTTTTTCCATGCCTTTGGTATCTTCCCCTCCTTCAGACAACTAAATGCCCCCCAATTGTCATCCTCAGCACAGGTTTCCTCTATGTACACTTGTTCTAATCCAGCTGATTTTCCTGACTTTGTTTTCTTTATTGCTATTTCTATCTCCTCTATAATTCCATAAAGGACTGTGATATAAGTGTCCCAAGTGTGATGGCTCTATTGTCCGGGGTGGTGAAAATAATTTATTAGCTAGTTAATAGATAACAAGCATTTACTATATGCTTATTATGTGTCAGACATTGGCTAAGTGCAAAGAAGAGCAAAAACAATACTTGTTCTCAAGAAGCTGACATTCTTGGGGTTAATTTACTCACCCAGGGTCATATAGCTAATAAGTGTTAAGTGTCTGAAGCCAGATTTAACTCAGGTCCTCCTGACTCCAGGCCTCTATCCACTGTGCCACCTAAGTGCCCCAGAAGCTGACATTCTAATGGGGGAGTCACAACATGAAAACAATCAATCTCAAAGGGAAGATATTGGTATTAAAGAGAACCAGGAAAAACCTTCCAGAAGGTGGAATTTCAGTTGATATTTAAAGAAAGCTAACAAAGTCAAAAGGCAGGGGTGAAGAAAGAGAGAATTCTAGCACAGAATTCACAAGCAGAGAATTTCATAGTAAGTGAAAAGGCATGAAGTCAGAAGATGGTGTGTTTTGCTGGAGGTACAGCAAGGAGGCCAGTATCACTGGATGATACAATCAAATAAGATTTTATATATAAAATCTTATATATATATGTATGTAGCACACACTTTATTTATATATATATATATGAAGCACATACTTTATATATATCTATATCTATATCTATATATGTAGCACATACTTTATATATACAGTAGGCACTGTATAAATGCTTATCCCCTCCCGTCCACACCTTCTTCTTCCCCTATATAGTATTTCTAAGGGAGGAAAATGTAAAAAGACTGCAAAAATAAGAAGGGGCCAGGTTGTGAAGGATTTTAAAAGTCACGTAGACGATTTTATATTTGTTTTTGAAGGTAATACGGAGTTTTACGAGTTGAAAGAAAGAGAGGGTGACATGGTCAGATTTGTGCTTTAGGAAGATGACTTTGGTAGATAAGTGGAAAATGGACTGGAACGGAGAGAAACTTGAGGTGGGGAGACCAACCAGAAGGCTACTGCAAAGTCCACGTATGAAAGGATGAGGGTCTATATCAGGATGGTAGAGATGAAAGAATCCACAGGACTTGGTAACAGGTGGGATAATGGCAGATGAGAGAGAGTTAAAAAGTAAAAGATGACAAGTTTATGAGGCTACCACCATTTAACATATTAATAAACTGAGGATAGAGAACTTAAATAATTGGCCTAATGCCACAAGCCTACCAAGTGTCAGAAAGAGGATCTGAACCCAATCAAAATTCAGCACTTTACTCAATGTATTATGCTGCTTCACATTTATCCATTTAAAAAGTGGCCCATTTTTTCCCTGTCAAAACATGTTTTTATAATGTTCATAGTAACAAAATTAAACCTGTGCTTGCAGAATGTATTTTCATAATATAATTTCCTCAAGTACTAAAAATCTAAGAATTAAACAAAACTTTCTATAAAGTATAAACTACAAAGAATCCCCCACAATCAGCATCTGTGTCAGGAAAAGACATAATGTTCAGCTGCTATATGTAATAAATAAAAATAATCTCAAGATTCTACCAATAATAAAGTGAAGAATAGCCATACCTGTGTAAAAATATTGTGAGTTTGGCTTAAAATCCATCTTGAATCAGCATCAGGTGCAACTACTAATTTCAAGGTCCCAACATAAACATCAGAACAAAGAGTCCAAAAATGCTGCTCTTGTAAATGGTAAACTCCTTGCAACTGCAGAACCTAGAATATAAGGTGCAGATACAATCATTATCAACTATGCAGAAATTACTATACTTCATCAGAAAAATTAGGCCCTGCCCTCTACAATATTTCTAAAATGAAATGTGAATGGAATGAGTATCACACGTGTCACATGAAATCATATTTTCACAAGGGTACTATCACATAAATTCACTAAAATTTATCCATTGTTAAGAATACCTATGTTTCTCTGGACAAAACATGAAAAATATTCCTTAATGCTTTATGAGGAGAGCAAGACAAAGATATGACACTCAAGTTACATTAAATATTAATTATGACAACTCCTGAGTACCCAGGTCACCCACACGATCTGAAATTTTTTAATCTCAAACTGGTTCTCCCCTAAAACCATCGTGATTTGAGACTTACTTTCTCCACCCCATGACGATAATGCAAAATAACATATATTATCCTGACCAACTCAATATATTAGGAAGTAAGTCTTACTAAGCATATACTACATTCAAAAGCCACCAGCCATTTTAGTAATCCTCAAGGACAGGAAACCTTTAGATTCATAGCACCTAATACAATGCCTTGCTCATAATAAGTAGTAACTTTGCTCAAAGTGATTTTAACTGATTTTATACATATTTTAAAATTTCTTGCAGTCAGTGTATAGCTAACCTGCTCACCGTAACTTTAAATTTGGGTCAAGAAAATATAAACATTTTACATCTAAATTAAATAGTTGTTTTTGTTCCCACAAAGCATCTTCAAATATATTATTTCATTTAACCTTCACTAAATTCCTTAGGTAAGCAGGACAAGTACAATAATTCTCATTTTACAGATGAGAAAATTAAAAGCCCAAGGAGATTAAATGATAATATAATTTTAGACAAGTGAGAAGTAAGAGTGTAGACTAGAACCATGGCTACTAGGTTAGTTGCCTTCTTTCTCTGGAAACAGGCAGCTACAAACTGTACTCACCAACTTATTTCATCTTTTGAGATATAATTTTTTCAGAAAATATACATCAGTGCTGTTATGGCAATTAAGGGGGTAAGAAAATGGACCCACAGAAATAAGGGTAAAGGTAGGGCAGAGTTGAATAGTTGTGAGCTTAGGCCCAAGAAGCATGGGCCTCAATAGTATTTAGGAATAATAACTCTGCTAGCTTTAGCTTTATCATTTATAAATGTATAGCCTCGTTATTTTGAACATATTTTCCCTAGGAACTATCAGTACAGACATCATTAATCATTGAAACAGAGATTTAGTAGAAGTCACAGAATATCAACAAGAAGAAACCAGCAGGGACCAGGTAAAAGTAACAAGGAGATGAACTAAGGCACTGACAAACAAGTACAATAAAACTTAATAGGATAAGAGTTTACTCCTGGAGCTTAGACTGGGCATGTACAATTCTATGCTAATATATAGCAATAATACTGTGATTAAGATAAAAAAAAAAAAACAACACTAGAGTAATACAACAGTGTAGAGTAATAAAGCAGTGGACTTGAAATCAAACCATCCGGATGAGAAACCCATCTCTACTACTTACCAGCTATATGAGCACATTGTAAGTCACTCGACTTATTTAGGCCTGTTACTTAACCTGTAAACTGAAGATGTGGGATTAAAGAATTTCTTAAATCCCTCCTAGTTCTAAACAGTATAGTCCAATCAATGTATCCTAAAATCACAATCACTTTTTTGACAGTCACATCACACTGCTGACTAATACTGAGAATGCAGTTTGCTGAAGCCCCCAGGTTTTTTCCACATAAACTATTTTCTATCAATATATCTATCCCCCATCCTCTACTGATATAAATAAATTTATGAAACCAAGTTTAAGACCTCACATATATCCCAATTAAACTATTAGCTTTAGCCCACAATTTCAATTTGTTGAGGTTTTTGGGTATCTCAATTTTTAGTAGCTTTTTTACAGTTTTGTATGATACACAAATTTTCTAAATTTTTTATATTTAAGAAGTATGCAATATTACATTTTTTTCTTCAAATGCTGCTTAAAAGATACTCACTTCATGATCATTCATTTTCCGCATTCTGTAAGGCAGAGTTGGCTCACACCTTACAATGAGTCAAGTACGTCGTACAGTGAAGAATGGTAGATTTTTATCTAGGGATCTGAGTTCAAAGCCCAACTCTGCCATTTACTACCTGTGTAAACCTGGACAAGTCACTTAGCCTCTTTGGGCCTCAGTTGCTTCTTATGTACAATGAAGGGATTAAACTGGATAATGAAGTACAAACAAGATAATCTAAAGTACAAGTGTATTCTAAACTCTAAATCTATGATCCTATGACACTGTGATCATGAAAAGTGTTACAGGCAAAATCAAGTTTGACTCTGCCTCTGAGAAAAGGGAATCCTAATGTAGTCTTGTTATTCATGAACTATGGGGCAATTCCTTTTAGAATTGGTGTCAACATTTTTCAGATTCCACATTTTGAGTGGACAGTTGTTCAGTTGTTTTAGTCATGTCTAACTCTCTGGGACCCCACTTGGTCCCCACTTGGGGTTTTCTTGGCAAAGATACTGTAGTGGTTTGCCATTTCCTTCTCTAGCTCATTTTACAGATAAGAAGTGAGGTAAGTAGGATTATATGATTTGCCCAGGGTTTACATAGATAGTAAGTGTCTGAGGCCACATTTGAACTTGGGAAGATGAGTCTTCCTGACTCTAGTCCCAGCACTCTGTCCATTGCACCACTTAGCTGCCCAGGGTAGACAAGTAGTTAAAGAAAAAACTAAGTTTGAGAAGAATCTTTATGTAAATTTGAGGACAACATTCACAACTGAACAAACAGTTCAAGTAAGCAAATGTTTATTAGGCACATGATTAAGTAAGACAATGGGCTAGCAGCTGAAAAGACAACTCTACCCTTAAGAAGCTTATTATATTCTTAAAACGTTTGCAGTATATCTTTTTATTATGTAATACTCTAGTTTAAAATCTTTAAAAAGGGTTCAATTATTCTAACAAAATAAGAAAAAAAGTTCAGAGTTGCAGCTAAGGTACATTTTACAACATTTTCTTTAGCAATCAAAAAAAAATTTAAAACTTGTTCTGAGTTAATGGCCATCAGTCATGATTCGATCCTGAAATTTAAAAAAAAACCACTATATCCAAGCACATGCTCACCAAAAATTCAATACTTAAAAAACAAACACACTAAAAACCTCAGGAGTTTGGATCTTCACAAAACTCAAGAGATCTGGAAGTTTTACAACTTACCCTCTGATAGCATTGAGGCAGAGCACTTTCCAGTGATGGAGGTGTTCGCTGCATCAATATTCCAACTGATTCTCTTAACAGAGGAATAACACTAAAGGAAAAAAGATGATAAACTAGCTACACCAACATTGTCAAAACACATTACTGTTTCCTATAATGAAAAACAACTATACATACATATATACATTTTTTATTACAAGAAACAAATACCCAGTATTCACTGTTTCAAACTTCTTGAAGTAACCAGGAAAGTATTTTCTATGGCACATTCTAAACAACTAGAGAATAAATCCATATCAATGTCACTTTAAGAATGTAAAACATATTTAAATCTCAAATTTGTGAAAAATTAATAATACATTAGAATCAAACAAACTTGTTTTTGGGACTATGATTTAATGCATCTGTAAATGAACAAAATGGTACATACATTATGGCAGCTAGTTCTTAATATTTAATAAGTACTCATGTATACTGCAATATATCAGAAACCTATATAAACAAGAGAGCCATCCTATCCACTAAAATACTAAAAAAAAAAAAAAAAAAAGACTAGCATAGCAAACAAGTCATTTTTACATAAAACAGTTAAGTAACAATGTGACAAAGGGTCAAAATGGGCGAAAGGACAGTTAAGTGCTAAATTCAGCTCCAATGCTTATAAGCTGGTATGGCTTGAATTCCCTTGAAGTAGAATCCAAGGAGAGAAGGGGAAAAAGCTAAAGAGCCTATCTGCCTATTGTCTTACTCCTGCTGAGACCTCAGTGCTCAACTAATGAGGACAGACACCACCATCCCCAGGCAAGGGCTGACCTAGATAGAAACCATAAGAATTCAGGAAATAGTTATTATCTTAATGTGGCTTGGGTCAGTCAAAAAAAGGCCTTATTCTTGGGTTAAAACTGGGTCTTAAAGGATATAGATAGTGAGAAAGGAGAAAGAAGTGCACTTCAATTCAGTTAAAATAGTTTGAGCAAAGGCCTCGAGTCAGGATGTCTTCCAGAAATACAATGAAATGATGACAATGGAGATGATGATGATGATGATAAAATCAATAAAACACATATCCCCATCATTCCGTCAGCTACTGGAGTTGTTCCAAAGATGCTTTCAAAGCCTATATAAGATGAGCTTACATTCAAGACTTATGTTCAAGTACAAAAAGCAGTCATTTTTTTCTAACTGTACAGTGTCCACAGAACATTAAAGGTAAAACAATAATAGCACACTAGTGAGTGACCATTCCAAGACTGTTTCTACCTGATTTCCTTTGAACTCAGATGAGATGAATGAGATAATAACACTTTCCCAGAGAAACAGCAAAGACTGACAATAGGTATGCAACCTTATTCCTCAACTAAAACTACTCTCTAGAAACTTAATCTAAAACTCTTTTCTCAGTTCCCATCCTTCTCAATATATCTGCTACCTTTGGCAGCGCTGCCCATCCTCTGCTCCTATAACTCTTTCCTCTCTGGTTTTTCATGACACAACTCTCTCTTGGTTCTTTGTCTAACTATCTGACAGCTACTTCTCATCCACCTTTGCTGGTTCATCATCCATCACACCCCCTAACTGTGGATGTTGCCCAAGGTTCTGTCATAGACCCTACTCTCTTCCTTCTCTGCAAACTCTAAGTAAACTTTACAGCTCTAATGGGTTAAGCTATAAGCAAGAGAGAGGAAGCAGTGAGTGCCATTGCCCTCCATGACAGCAATTTTATCCCATTAGCAAATAGATCATGATTCTATCTTCCACAAATTTATCTAAATCCTTCTTTTGAAATTATTTTAAATTACAGCCTATGGAATTTCCTAGGATAAAGAAGTTCACGTTTCCCACCCTCTGTGAAAAGGGGAAGATGTAAATGGTAGGTTAGTAAATAGGTAGTGATAGATATTAACCAACAATGACATCAATAAACTACTTCCTTAAAATATGCAAGGGAAAAAAAGTACAAATAGGGAGCCAAAAAAAATAACAATTTTGTTACCCTGTATATGTATGTAAATGCACATACACATATATGTATGCATATGTTTACATAACATTTATCATAAACAAATTATATATAAGGGAGGTCAGCATAAATAGGGAGCCAAACAAACATAGCAGTTTTGTTACCCTGTATAGTCGACTTTTTATGTTTATTAATGATTTCAGTTCAAAATAAAATATTTTAAAACAAGAAATTTTATCTCCTTTTACTTTGTTATAAAATTCCAACTTTCAATGAATACCCACTAGTTCTAGTAGTCTCAACATTGGTAAACAATTCATATGATTTCTTTAGCTTCAGGAATTTTCTTAAGAGTTAGAAGTGATTATTCAGTCACATTGTCCGATGCAGGAATCATAACATATAAGCAATTAATATTTCTATAAAATCAAAGCCCCAAACATTTGTTATTAGCATAAATGTTTATCGAAAAAAAATGCATGATATTCTATCTGAACAGATTTATACAGTAAGAAGGTATGGTATTATCCAGCAAGAGTTATTTATTTTGCTCAGGTTTTTATTTTAAAGAATGATTTCTCTACAATATGAAATTTAAAATGGTTGCCTGTTTAGACATGTTAGTATGAAATACTTACAGCCAACAGTAGCAACCACCTTGCTGAGGTACAAGGATGCATCATATAAATTTCTTCAGCAACAGCTTTGCAAATTTGCAAGAATTTCAACTGTGGAATATGAAATAGAATCTGCAACTAGGTCATAAGACTGTGGGGGGAAGGTGACATATATTTGATAAATCATATAATGAAATTCAATTCAGAATCATATTCTACTTCTACAGTAATTGAAATGGCTATTTTAAAATGTTTTAAATGTATAAAAGTTTTGGGGTTTTGCTTTTAAAATTAAGTCAATGGCTTGAAGATAGTTTCCCAAAGAAGATAATATGAGTATCATAAAACAGAATTTGCATGGGTTCCATCTAGCCATAATGAAAGGATCTATGAAAAATGGCAAGCTTTGCAAATTCCTGATATTTGCTAAGGTTTACAGTCTAATCCAAGCCTAAACAGTAAACATTTGGAAACTATTAGAGGTTCTCTTCTCTGGCTAACTACCCAGTTTTAAAAGGAAAAATAAGTTTTTTTGCTGATAAAAAAAGAAAAATTTCATAAGGTGAACAAATTCCCAGTAAAACAGGAGTTCATTCTTCAAAAGCTAGTGACATCACTATCTGATCCTTTTAGACAAATCATTTATTTAAACCACTTATTTATTGAGGAGTGTCTTTTGGTCTTATCTACTGTTAATATATTCTCTCTCTCAATATATCCATCAATCTGCTATCTATATGTATATTTATGCACTTATATTCATATAATAGATAAACTTGGATATCAAACTATTCACAGTGCTATACTAATAATAATAGTTAACATTTGGCTTACAAAGAACTATATACATACATGTGTGTATATATACATATATATAGAGATACCTATATAAATATCTATATCTATCTATCTTACTTGATTCTCATAACAACTATGCAAAATAGGTGCTATTACACAATTTTACAAATAAAGTTTTGAGGGGTTAAGTGACTTGCTCAAGGTCAAACAACTATTTTTCCTTCCATTCAATAATTTCTTTTATTATTCAAACCTAATTGATTTTATAAATGCAAAACTTTCTATATCTTATCTAATCAGAGCTGTTTACGTTGCTTTTACTGATACCCTATAAACCACAGATCACAGATTTAGTGCTAGAAAGGTCCTTAGAGTCATGTAATCCAACCCTGTCATTTTTCAGATAAAGAAGCTTAAATCCATAGAGATTAAGTGACTTGTACAAGGTCACATGAGTAGTAAGCAATAGATATGGGTTCTGAACCCAGGTTCTCATACTCCGGATCCACTACCCTTCCCACTGTATCATACCTTGACTTGACAGGAATTCTCCCCCTAGCTATGGCTGTGAAACGAACTGCTTTCCCTTCTTTAATAAGATGGGACTTTTATATTCTGGTCCCAGATTCAACAGGAGCTTGTTGTGTTATATAGTTTAAGATGCTGATCTAAACCTAATTTCTGCTAAACTGCTTTCCAAATTTCTCAGCAGTTCTTGTCAGACAAGGAGTGCTTCTAGGAGCAATATATACTTGGACATTTACCAAGCATGAGCTGCTATGTTTTCTGGTTTCTTTATCAGGTCTGTTGTAATGACTTACTTTTCTAATTTTTAACCAGCATAATCATAGAATGAATGCTGGAAAAGACATCATCTAGTACATACTCCTCATTTTATAGATAAAGATACTGAGGTTCAGAAAAGTTAATGACTTACCCAGGCCATACATTTGGCCAATGGCAGAATCAGAATGAGAACTCAGGTCCTCTGACTCAACATTAACACTCTTTCCACTATACAGTATACCAAATAGTTTTGCTGTATCCTGATTTGAAATATGGTTTGAAAACCAGAATTTTCCTAGTTTGCCTTTTTAGAACTAAGGGAGGATTTTTTTATTAGAAAGATCATTGTTTGTTAAATGATGTGAATCTCTAATGGCCACCTTTCATCAACTTACTAAGTAAAGTAGAAGTAGGAAGAAATGTTGGCTGCTAGGAATTTATTCAAAATTATTTTCAGTCAATTTCAATTTATTTAGTAATTTTAGTAAGTTTGCCATTGGAAGACGATATCATTTCAACTACAAATAAGAATCCAGATATGGTATTTATTCTGGACCCAAAACTCACCTGACTAATAAATTAACAGATGGTCCAGTTCAACAATCTAAACCTTAATGGAAAGAAAGCCAGGTGATAAGAGTAGCCCATTCTCAAAAGAACCTTTGAATATTTCAAAGTTACAGCTTCAACCAAACAAATTAAATGTCCAAAATTTAACTTCTACAAAGGTAAAGACCTAGTAACAAAAGTAGACCCAAAAAGATCTTATTCTTCTTTCAAGCAGAGGCAACAGAGTTATATTTATTTAGACAGTAGCACACCCTGTCTTATGTTACAAACAGTCAAATTTCTATCATTCATGCTAATGGAGAACAAAAGTACAAATCACCAAGAAAAAAAAAACAAAACAAAAAACTTTAACCCAGTACT